TCCGTCCGTCCGTCCGTCCGTCCGTCCGTCCGTCCGTCCGTCCGTCCGTCCGTCTATCTATCTATCTATCTATCTATCTATCTATCTATCTATCTATCTATAATCTATCTGTCCGTCCGTCCGTCCGTCCGTCTGTCTGTCTATCTATCTATCTATCTATCTATCTATCTATCTATCTATCTATCTATCTATCTATCTATCTACCTGTCCATCCATCCATCCATCCATCCATCCATCCATCTATCTATCTATCTATCTATCTATCTATCTATCTATCTATCTATCTATCTATCTATCTATCTATCTATCTATCTATCTACCTGTCTATCCATCTATCTATCTGTCTGTCTGTCTATCTGTCTATCTATCTATCTATCGAGAGCTGGGTAGATTACAAATTGTAGTCCATTACTGATTCCAAATCACATGACAAAAAATGTAGTTACTAACGTAATCCATTACATTACCCATTTTAGGTGATATAATGACACTACTTTTTGATTACTTTTAGATTAATTTTGACCTTACTTGTTTATCACATTGATTTAAATAGGATAATCGTGTAGCATATTGATATAAAAATGCAAAGAAAAAGAAAATATATTCCATTCGTTGTTATTAACAACATAAAGTGCATTAAAATTTGGCTACATTTTCATCAAAGTTTCCCAAACTGGGGTTTATGAAGGAACTGCAGGAGGCTTGTGAGTTTAATGAAGAGCTAACAATTAGCCTAATTCAGTCATAAAAACAGGGTATATACAGGAATCATGGAGTTAAATGTAATAAGTGTTAAGACCTTTTTAAGACTCTTTCCATACATTTTAAGACCTCGTCGCCACTCCAAGTTTTAACTGGTTACATCGGCAACACTTTAACTTACATTTACTATAAATGATATATATATATATATATATGTGGAACACTTCTCATGACAAACATCTGACTGGTCAGACAGTTTAGCTGTGATTACAGAGTGCTTGACTTGATGCAGACTTGACAGAGTGTCAGTACTGCACCTGATCGTGTCTGAATGATCATGAAAGGTAAAATAATGATCACAACTATTACATCATTTTAATTGTGCATCCCAAGCCCATGCAGTAAAAAAAAACGGCCCAAGTTGGCCAAATTCCATGTCCCAAATATAAAAATGTCATTTCCATCCCTAAAATACATATTTTACAGTCACTATTATGCACATTTATCATAAACACAGCTCAGATGCTTCTTACTAGTGTGGTCCAAAACATTTAGCACAGTTTTATTACAGGTAGAATGCAAAATGTTTCAGTACAAGCATTTCAACCAAATGTCATTTATGCAATATTTCAAACCTTTAACCCACTGGGGAAAATCAACCCATGGCAGCAGTTTAAAAGCAGCCCAATTTTGTGGAAAAAAACAACAACAACAACCCTGCATCCAACACGAGCTGCAGAAGTCAGATTTGACTGATCACGGGTCAAAAGTAAGGAGAGATAACAGACAAGATGTTGGAGGATTTGCTCCTCAACAGATCCCGAGCTCATTGACAAATATATTTTATCGTAAGATGTGCTCCCTTTACACAGTGCGCACGCGATTGCGAAATCGAAAGTGAACTGCGAATGCGAGCGCTCATTCAAAAGGGATTTAAATATCCCACATATTGATAGCGGCACCCTGATGCGTGAAAATTATATACAATATTAGAATGTTTGCGGAGCGGATGGGAGCATGCAGTAATGGTGAGAAATTCAGCGAGAGCGGGATCAACAAGCCCCGCGCTATCACGCAGCGGCGCAGTCAGTCAGTAAGCGCCGTAACAGATGACGTCAAATCTTGCGGGATTCCATAAATAAATAAATAAACTACACAGAATCCCACTATTCGGACAAATATACATAATGAAAAGATGATACAAAATGTAATACCTTGGAAAATGGCATTTAATATTTTTAAGGGCCTTAATTTTCTCTAAACTGATTTATCAACGTTTAATACTTTTTAAGACCCCACGGACATCCTGAAAAATGTAAAATTAAAATAAATAATTTTAAAGTAACATTCATCAAAATAAAACGCTTACTAAGGAGAGATAACTGACAAGATGTTGGAGGATTTGCTCCTCAACAGATCCCGAGCTCATTGACAAATATATTTTATCGTAAGATGTGCTCCCTTTACACAGTGCGCACGCGATCGCGAAATCGAAAGTGAACTGCGAATGCGAGCGCTCATTCAAAAGGGATTTAAATATCCCACATATTGATAGCGGCACCCTGATGCGTGAAAATTATATACAATATTAGAATGTTTGCGGAGCGGATGGGAGCATGCAGTAATGGTGAGAAATTCAGCGAGAGCGGGATCAACAAGCCCCGCGCTATCACGCAGCGGCGCAGTCAGTCAGTAAGCGCCGTAACAGATGACGTCAAATCTTGTGGGATTCCATAAATAAATAAATAAACTACACAGAATCCCACTATTCGGACAAATATACATAATGAAAAGATGATACAAAATGTAATACCTTGGAAAATGGCATTTAATATTTTTAAGGGCCTTAATTTTCTCTAAACTGATTTATCAACGTTTAATACTTTTTAAGACCCCACGGACATCCTGAAAAATGTAAAATTAAAATAAATAATTTTAAAGTAACATTCATCAAAATAAAACGCTTACTTAAAAATAAATATTTTATTTGTGACCATTAAACAATATCAGAGAACTGTGAACATGCGATACTCAATTATTAAAATATTTATTTTAAAGTCTCAGGGGTACTTCAAGTAAATATATTTGTTGAAAGTGGTTTGGCTGGCAAAAAAATGTTCGGGAATCCCTGCATTACATATAAATAAAAAACAATGTGAATTTGTGCATTTAAATGTGTTTGAAAGACAAAAGCCTTCCGAAGACATAGTAATGCATGGTTAAATAACCTACCGAGTGATAATTCAAATAAAAATGAGTGTTCTTTAGTAGTTGATGCAATGTTGGAATGCTGAGAAAACACTTCTTAAAATGAAAATGATTTTTGTAAATCCAGTGGTCAAATGCTGTGTAGCCATCTGACCAGTGACTGATCTCTGTGTGAATGTCCACAAAACTCATAGACTCTCCCAGTGTATAAGCAGTAGTCTATTTTAGAAAGGAACATTTAAAAGATGAAAAATAGGAATTAAGGAGAATCAATCAATTATTAATAATTTATTTCCAATTGTGTGAATAATATGCAATTAGTAAAAAAAAAAAAGTAACTGTATTCTAGCTGATTACGAGTATTTTAAAATGTAATTTAATCTACTTACAAGTATTTAATTTTTGGAATCTGATTTTCCCAGTCTCCCCTACATTATATTAAACGTGAAGCCGAACGTTTTTTACGCACAGACTTTTAAAGTATATCCTCTGATACCGTGCATGACACATGCGCACTAGAAAGCTTCATCATTGTCCAGTGTCTGCCCTTTTTCTCTCCAAGAGTTTTGAATGATAAAATGTCTTTGTACTCCTTTAAACTAGTGTTGAGGGCCTCTCTTAATCCCCTCACGTGAGCAATGGGTCTATTGTTCTGTCTCCTCCGTTTCTTTTCCGACTGTGAAACAACAGCCAGGGACAGTGTTAAACTGAATAGTGTAACAAAAAAAAAAAACGGAAGATTA